CTTCTTTCACGATGGTTAGCTCTATTTGATCAGACTATCTTTATTTTGAACAAAAAGAGATTCATGCACTCGAAATCTGTGCTAGATACCCACATTTGATAATCTTTAAATAACTTTTATAAAAACAAAAGCAAAAAAAACATTACTAGAATAAACACTAGAGCTTTAACCAGAGGAGACTGTAATGTTCAGCTGCGTAGGACCAAATTTGGCCAAATGGTTGCATCCATCAGAGGAGCACAGATATGGAACACACTGCCAGCTCATGTTAGGGGCTGTGTAACCTACATATGTCCACTCTGTTCTCTCCTGTATTGTCTTGTTTAATGTTCACTGTTTTTACATGCCTTAGGACAGTGGATGCAAATTAGCTGTTACGCTAATTCTGGCATATTTACATTGATGCTTTATGCTGACATGTTGATGAATATGCATTGTCCTAATCCAAATAAATAAATAATAAATAAAAAATATTAACTTAATTGCAACCACAAAGTTGGGTTGTCAAAAGTATCGAGACTCAAAAAAGTATCGATACCAAAATGTTGTATCCGGATACAATACTCGTTTTTAAAAGTATCAATACAGTGTTACAGTGCTTTGTTTCTTAACCAGTTTGGCTAGTGTCATTGTTATGTGTGCAAAGCATAGCCAAGGAAGGAACACTTAATTTTAATTTTAGTTTTTTTATCAAGCTTGCTTAATATTGGGCACAGCAAACAACCTCAAAATATTGTTCTTATTGTTGATTGTATTTATTTATTGTATTTTATTTATTAATGAAAATATTTCTGAAGAATTTTGGAGTCTTTGTTTTTATCCTTGTGGTATCGAAAATGGTATCGAGTATTGAGTATTTTCCTTAGTACCGGTGTAGGTACCAGATTGACTCGGGCTGCCAGATTGACTCGGGGGCCTGCGCCTTTTGAGATGCGTCAGAGCGTCCGCCATCTTAAATGTGGCAAATCTGCAGTTTCTCAGTCACTTAAACAGTATCAGAGGGACTTTAATCTCTGAATATACTTTGTATTCGTAGTATTTTTGGTTTTGTAATATTACAAGTTTATTTTTTGTATCCCTTTAGCTTCATTCTCCTGAATTTATTCTCGTTACAAATGCAGACCGCGGGCTCAATGTAGTTTGTTTGAGTGGCATTGCCATAATGTCACGTCATCGGGAGGCGCAAGGCCTATGGCGAATTCGGTGACGTCATCAGAAGGCGCAGGGACCATGGAGAATGTCTTCGTAAAATTGTCCGTTTACAAACAGCAATCCCGCTTTCGAATAAAACCTACACCCCGCTATAATTACTTTAGTAAGCTGTCCAGACCAATCAAAATGTTTTGCGCAATTGTGCAAACGTTAAAACAATTATGTATTGTGACGTCATCAAAAGGAGCAGGCCCCCGAGTCAATCTGGCAGCCCGAGTCAATCTGGTACCTACACCGGTATCGAGTTGAAAAGTTTAGTATCGTGACAACCCTACCACAAGGAATAAAATATAATCAAATTAAATAAAAAAAAAATACACACAAAAAAAGGATGTAACAAAATCTGGGGGGAACTTTACTCTACAGGAAAAATGTGCAGGTCTATGGTGAGTCTCTGCAGATTAATAAAAGTCTGATTGAGACGAATAAAAGTTCAATTATTATGAAAGCAAACCTGTTAGCGGTAGCAAAAACTTAAACCAGGACATAATTTGATAGATTCTGGTAAAAAAAAAAACAAGCTGCAAGTAAGCGATAAGTCTACCTTCTAGTACAAAAACAATCTTAAAGAAGGGCAATACTGATGTGTCAGTTGAGCATTGTCTACAGTGTTAGTCAAATAAAGCCATCTGGGTTTGATTCCTGACCATAGGACTTTTGATGCATGTCTTAACCCTACTTGCTCTGCCAACTTTAATTGTGATTATTGTAAACAAAGGCCACTGCTGCTAAAAATATGTCTTAAAACATTCTGAACTCACAAGAGAAGCATGAAAAGTATGGAAAACCAGGTACTAACAGGAATCGAAGTAAACTAGCGAAGCTAGTGAGGAAGAACCGTGCAGGGAGACATAAATACGAACTGGAAAAGTCAGTTACTGGATTATACACCAAGCGTGTCAGATAATGGATGGATGGATGGATTATAAACAGGAGAGTGACTTAGACAACTTTTATTGTCATTGTAAAAAAACAAAATTTCGTTTTGTTCAGCTTTGGTAACATTTCCATTTCTTAAAGGGCAGTAGTGATCACATGTAAACAGTGCGTGAGAAAAAAACATGGTGGAAAAAAAACGCATTGATATGGAAGTTCAGAGCATTACATATATATGGTGCAGTTATACAGAGTTTTGATTTGGTTTTGTCAGTTTAATGCAGTGTCTGTGACATGATTTAGAGTTTTCCCAACAGTTCAGCTCTCTGATGGCGGTGGGGAAGAAGCTGTTTCAGAATCTGCTAGACCTGCATCGAATGTTGCGAAGCCTCTTCCCAGAGGGCAGCAGGGATATGAGGGGTCACTGATGATGTTACAGGCTTGGGATAATGGAACGAAATGTCTTTTTATGGAGGGCTGGAGGTAATGGGTGGGTGATTCTACAAGGTAAGAACTCAAAGCATGGATGCTAAATATTAAATACAACTACTGATGATGTTTTTAAATATTAAAAAGAAATCCCAAATGTACAACTTTGTGATGAACTTTAACATACAATCCCAATATATGCACTAAATTTTACTCTTGTAATGTGTCTTTACAAGGAATACAGTAATTGACATATTATAAACGTAAAGCTGGAAACATCTATTTTAATTTTTTTCCTTTTAAGAAAAAAAAAGGCTCTTTAAAAAGTTGCAACCAGGGATCACTGCAATTAGAAGTGAACTATATTAAGATCACCATGACAGCGGGAATGCTGGGGGTGGTGCCGGGGGTGGTGATATTATTAGTTTAGGCCAGCTTGCAGTGTGCTCCACTTTTTTTGCTTCGACTTGCTACGCCTTCAGATGTTCCCAGTGTGAAAGCTGAATGCCACATGCATCAAACACACACATGCAATGGTGTACTTGAACCAAATGCGCCAGGAAAGCGTACGCCCACAACTCTCATCTTTGAGTGAAAGAAATCTGAGAGATTTGTTAAAACCAAGAGGAAACTTCAAAGCATTTGTAGAACACAGCTTTGGTTGTGAACATGGCTTCACTTCAAGGAAGAAAAAGAAGAGATTCCCTGTCAGGTAGCATCCAAAGGAACAAAAATATCAGCAAAACGCTTTGATTCAGGTATTTGAAGACGGAGGAGGGATTAGGTACAGTACAATGTTTGATTCTTTGAGTTAAAGTAGGGTAAGCTCCTTTCTATTTTAAAAGAATGATTGAAGACTAGAGTTGACTTCTTAGACAGAAACAATTCAACAAATGCTGAACTGTTTAAAACGACAGGAATCAACAGGCTTTTACTAAGACCTGGTAGAAGTTGGAAATTTTTATTGTTGTCATGGAAACAATATCAAAATTTTTGATGGGCAGTTAAGACTGTTTAAACATTCATCAAAACTGACAGGGTTCTACTAGGTGCCATTTTTTTTTTTATGAACTCTTTTGTTCCTTGCTATTCTTTTATTTTCCTTTCTGACTCCGTCCTTTGTTCTCTGGCTTAGTCCTGACTTGGTAAATGTTGATGTCACTGACTCTGGTGAGGTGAAAACTCCTGCTTTGCTCCCACAGTCTGGGTTAAGAGCCCATTGGTGGAGATAAGAGAGCATTGTTTACTTGGCCCAGCTCTGATACAACTCCTACACAAGCACACACAGAGAGCTCTACCACCCGCACTGCACAGCTTTACTGTCACACTTTCCAGAATGTGCTGTGCGATGGTGGCAAGTCATTAAGGGAACTGCATGTAGCATAGACAGAGTTTTAAACTAAGACCTGAAAGATCAAAACCAACTTTAACTTGATACCCTAACTACACTTATGCATGCTTTCAGCATTGTTTCGCTATGCGGTTTCAAAAATATTTGTTTTTCTTATTACACATTTGGTTCCCAAATTATGTAATAGATAAACACGGAGTGGTGCAAAATTATTATTGAAGTGGAAGGGGGAAAAAGGATAAAATAAATAGGTGCATGCATTTAGTCGACATGTGAGATCTGGTCAGATGGAAGAAAATTTAACTTTTTAATCAATAACACTAAAGTTCCTTGTGGTAAAAAAAAAAAAAAAATACTATAAAACAAACCAGATCACCAATGAATCACCATAAAGTTCAGGATGGAACTGTTGGTGTCATGCTTGGGAATGCTTTTTGTAAGCAGGGACGGATAAACTGGTCTGTAAACAAAAGTTAGTGAAGATAAATGCAAAGACGCTAAGAGAAAATCTATCAAAGGCTGCAAAAGACCAGAGTAGACAGCAGTGGTTCATGAGAACGCTAAACATATAGCCAGCAGAACAATAGAGTGGTTTAGATTAAATTTGATTTATTTGTTAGAAAACCCATGAGTACTGTTTTAATTTGACCATTACTCTGTTACAAGACTTTGACATTAATATCCACAGATAGGAATAGGTTTGAATTAACAAAATCACAATATCAGATTTTTTTTTTTCCAAATCGACCACCTTTGATCTACCACTTTATTATTTTCCAAATATATACATTATTAATAAATGGTCTGAATTATAGCAGGCTGAATTTTGTACTTAAACTGTGACAAATTGTAAAATATTCAAAAAGAGATGAGTCTCGTGTTAGTATGAAGACTCTTGTGTTTTTCTACAAATATCAAACCTTTTATATTTGCATGTTTTAATTTATTGTGAAAAATCTGCAGCTTTGAAGAAATGCCACATGCAAACATCCCACTCAACGCCTGTCACTGCTCATGCATTTTCATTTTTTTTTTCTCCCATTAACCGTAACTTCTCACCAACCTCTTTTCACCACCTGCTGCTTCCATCTCTATTAAAAAAACAAGTTGCAATTGTCACTACTTTACATACCGGTATTTCATGCCAGTCAGCTTGGCAGTAGACTCCTTTAGGTTGTGGTGGTAGCGGTGGGTGAAGGAGCCCAGACTGCGGGCGATCAGGGCCACTGTGCGGAAGCGGGCTCGGGCATGGCTGGTAGTGTTGGGGCTGGTGGCATTCTGCTTACTGTGCTCCCCATTGCGAGGAGCCTTCAGCCCATGGTCCGTACATGCAAATGACACCTGCATGACTGTTGGCGAAAAGCCACTAGATGTTCCAAAACAAATAGGAAACCTGTTTGAGTCTATAAAGTCCTTGAGATTCTTTCACCCTGCCTGCAGAAGCTAGAATAGAGAATATGTAGGGTTGAAAGTGAGCGGTCTGGGCCAGGCGTGCCTAATTCTCCTGAATCTCATATGGAAATAGCAGAGGATAAGGATGATGTTACTCAGTTTATTTCAAGAGAAGAATCAGGGTCTTATCCAGCCTCTCAGAGTTGAACATTTCAGTGGTGCAGTTTTGGTCAGTGTGTGAGAGCTGCAATGGGGATCCCGGGCATATCTCACTGCATCTGGAAATTAAAGAAAGGGGGGAGATAAAGGGAGAAAAATAAGCTGATTAGAGTCTGACCAATAAAGACTGAATTAGAAGAAGAGCTTAATTATAGCAGGAAGACTTTGTATTTTATCTGTCTCCCTATTGCTTGAATAAAATCCTTTTAAATGTGATATAAGTTGACATGTGATCGTTTTTTTTTTATTATTTCTGTTGTGGTGCAGTTAAAATATCTTTAGAAAAAATAACACCCTTTCAACTTAAATTTAGTTTCCTCTAAAGTGCTTTCATTGTGATGGTTCCTGATAAATAATTTCTTTTAAGGTTTTACGTCTTTTTTACCCCACAACTGCAGCTTAACCTTTAAACATGCACTTGAAGTGAAGAGAGTAACACTGCACCATCAGACCAGGCTGCTGACATGGTTGAAGAGCATGCAACAAAATAACAGACACTCATACTCCCCACATCTTTGGAATGAACCCATGCTTTCAGAGAGACTTACAGATTAAAACTACATGCAAAAATCTTTTCTGATAAATATTGGCAGGCATTAAACAAATCCAAACCGATTCAAGTGTGCTTACACAGCGAGATGCTGGCGATCAAAAGAAAAGATGCACAAAAGATGATGGATTTCTTCTGAGTTGCTCACTACTTGTGAAGGATCAGTCTGTGTTTACAGAGAGCATAAGTCTCGTGCAGATCTGCATCCCAACACAGGCAGCAATTCCAACTGAAGCAACAAATAAAAGCTTTGTCCTTTTCTTCAAATTCCTAAAGGAGGTCACTGAGAGGTGTTATGCTTGTTTTTGCAGCATGAGAGCCCCAAAAGATGACGAGATCCTTAAAATGTAATGATCAGACATTAAGGGGGAAGCACGGAGAGGAGAATGCATGGCACCTCACTTCAGAAAGAGGCAGATGCTGTGAGCGGGCGAGGAGCAGCGTGTGGTGAGAAAGTGAGCCGGTCGCTGAGTGAGGACGGGTCTGCCTGTGTGTGTTATAGGCAACTGGCTCTGACTGTGTGCCTGGAAGAGCTGCAGTCTTTTACACCATGGCGCCACAGTGAGCAAGGAAGAGAGAGAGAGAGCTAAATGTGAATGGGAATAAGAATACGTGTGTGGTTGTCTGTGTGTGTGGTGGTTGTGGTTGTGTCGGGGCAGTGCAATCTGTTGTCTGAAGATATCCACCTTGGACAGAGAGTCAAGGTGGATTAAGCTGCTTGATTACAAGCAACCTCTGGTATGATTCACTTTACTGTACATTGAAACCACTAATTTGTTTTTTCATATTAAATTCTCTCCACAAGATGCAGCCTCAGTCATTTAACAAAGGTAAAATGATATCCCTAACCTGTAAAAGGTAAGCTTGCTGCAAAGGTCTTTCCAATAAGACTGTTCACTGAGTTCTCAAAGCAGATGTTGAGTGTAGATACATCAGATAGGTATAGGACAGTAGAGAATAAAACCACTGAGGAGAGCAGTGCCTTACTTTCTTCTTCCATGTAGCAGTAATGTGACAATGGCAGATTTCACAGTTCATTGAACATCCACACACCTCGAGGCTGACACAGCTTTATTTAGATTACTGTAACGCCGTTTGATGGAGGCGACGCTTGTTCAAACTCAACACTCAAAGCCTATATTGTGTAGAATGGGCTCTATGCACAGCTCCACTACTTCCTGAATTTAAGGCAGCTCCTTTGTTTCCTGTCTTTCATTACTGGACGAACTGATTAATCCAGGTGTGTCTGGCCAGTTACTTAGGTCATACACACCTGGATTAATCAGTGCATCCAATCATGAAAGACAGGAAACAAAGGAGCTGCATTAAATTCAGGAAGTAGTCGAGCTGTGCATAGAGCCTATTGCATATTTATCTATTTCAGACAACGGCACCAGCCCCTCCAACCCTGACGGATTAGCAGCAGTAGATGATTTAATATCTGAAACTTAGCGAGCAGTACTGTGACTGTGGAGTGCAAGATAAGAAAACAAAAAGTAAAGAAGACTTGTTTTTTGTCATGATGTTGGCACTGATGACTGGATTAATAGTTAATTCCCTTCACCTCCCTAGCTCCGCCCAGTTTCTGATTACCACTCATCATATCCACCTGTTCCAGCTTCCTTCTATTTAAACTGTTTGCTCCAAGTAACTACCAGATTATTCAAGCAGTAGGTGAGAGTTTTCCTGCATACTCTGTTTGTTGTTCTGATAATCTTATCCTGACTAGTTACTGCCATTGGACCTCTGAGCTTGCCTGCCCCTTTTCTGATCTGATTGCCTGACCTGTCATTGGACTCCTGCTGGTTTCTGCCCGCTTACAACCCTGGATCTGTCTCCTGACCCCGGCTTGGATTTCCCTATGGTACCTCTTTGGATCTCTGGTCTTCTGGTCTGGACTTCTGTTTACCTCATCGACACCGGCTTTGCATTCACCTTCTGGAAACTCTTGGGGTCCGTTTCACGGAGCAGGTAAAACAAACTCAGATTCAAATCTGCAACTCCAGAATGATCTAGCCTAATGTTGGGAATTGTGAATTTTCAATTTCACAATGGCTGCTATGAATTAGTTCAATGAAGTCCAATTAGAACCACTCAGAGTTTAGCACATGCATAACAAGTATGAAAAGCCATAATCAATGGAGCACCAATTCGATGAGTCACCATTACGACAGGCAACAGGAAGTGCCTATTTCACACCACTGGAACTTGAGATTTTAATGCAGAAATGCAAAAAAATAAAAATAAAAAAGGAAACAGTGTTCAAAAGATATAGAAACAGTGCTATAGCTAGTAAATAGCACAAGTTATATGAAGTGGGTTATGGCAGGCCATTTTTATATTTATTAAAAGCACTCCTGTCTGTTGTTCCATTTGTAGATATTTAAAATAAGATTCTTCCTGATAAAAATCACACTCCTAGACTTAACTGTATTAATATATTTTCTAAATTACATTTTTGTAGCAGAAACTGAATTTTAGAAAATAAAAAAACAAAATTATACTAGAAGGAATTAAGTTTCATATATATATAGAAATGTTTACAAATTTAAAGTGGCCATTCTGAGATTTAACAGCTTAACTGAAAATGTATTTATGATATCTGAAATAATTTTTTTCATACTTGAAATAATGCAAATACTGGCCAATAATATTAGGAATATAGAGATCTGAAATTGATTTATAGATATATATAGATTAAACATCCAAAATTTTAATTCCAGCTGTGGAGAATATAACAATGTTTTAAATAGTCATTTAGACAAAATCTTTTTTTTTTTAGATATCAGGAATACATATTCAGTAAAACTAGTTCATATCAAAATGACCGACCGTGATCGTGATAATATTGTGGGATTATTTCTTTAATGATAGTGGATGAAAGTGTACCTATTCAGGTGAAATCTACTTGCAGTAGGTGAAAATGAAGTCAAAAAATGTTTTTCTAAAATCTAGAATCTGTGCGTCATCTCATGGGTGTCACGGTTGTGTTGAGGTTTTGAGGACCCAAATGCAGAGACAGAGAGGCAGAGGTGAATTTTGCTGATTTAAAGGAGCAACTGATAAAATACAAAACAAGAAAGAACCCAAGAAAGAACCCAAGAAACCAAAAACGTCAGGAAAAATCCATATAGGAAGCAAGAGACAAGGGAAACAACAAAACAACAAACCAGCACTGAGTGACTGCAGAGGTGAGGGGAGACTTAACCAAGACAAGCTAATCAGCAAACATGGAGCAGGTGTGAGTGGACTAACAAGAAGGGACCAAGGGAGAAGGAAACACAAGAGGGCAACAGGGAGCAACACAAGAACTAAAGACCTCAGCACTGGTAGAACTACAAAGATACAGAACACAGAGAAACTAAAAATAGACGCAAGCAGAGGGCAGAACCCTGACAATGGGTCCCTCATGTTGATTCAGTCTTCTTTCACACAGTAAACACTAAGTGGCTGTTTGCAGCCACGCTTCAGGTGTTATCATGCCAATAAATGGTTGTTATTTGTGGCTATCAGGCCCATAGAATACCTTCAGAGTGTGCCAGTAGGCTCAATAGGTTGTTATCATCATATGAGTGAATCCTAATCCTAACTCTAAAGTAATTCCTTTTCTCCCACAGAGTTAATGAATCTATTTATGTTAAATCTAAAAAATAAATTCAGTAGTTATTCATGTACTGTATATATAAAAAATACAAATAAAATATCCACATCTTGCTCATATTTAACAAACCAAAAACAAGTAATCTCATGCCCTGCCCAACTGAGTTGTAGAATCCTCTCCTTTTAAATATTTAATTATCTGTGAAAAAGTTACGTTCTTTAATAAGATCCTTGTCAAACGGAAATGTAGTGATTGTTTTTATAACCTAATGTGTATAATGGACCTAGTGAATGATATATATATATATATTTTTATGCACAAAACTGTGACAAAAAAACTTACTAAATCAGGAAATGAAATGGCGTGATTGAATGTAAGAAGAGCAGAGACAGAGTTTACTGAAGAAAACCTGCTTCCGACCAGGTTAGCTCTGAGGAGAACGTTACTACGGTGACTGAAACAGAGGTTGAGTAAACTTTCTTCGTGAAAAAAAAAAAAAGTCAGAGTTTCCCTGTTTTGAGGTTTAGAAAACTTAAGAGTTTTCGATAAACCTGCTTTGTGAAATTGACCCATGCTCTCCCTGTCTGCTGGCTTCTGCTCGTGTGCCCGCTCAGCAGCCCTTTTTGGCTTAGACTCCTGGAACTCTCTGGGCGCCGTCCACCGAATGCTGTAGCTGGATTCCAATCCTTGCTCTGGGTAAAGTTACGTGGTCACTAACCTCTCTTTTCCCTTCTTCCGAAATTCCGGCCTTTTTGTCCTAGCTGCTGAGTCGCAGATTCATCACTAATAAACGCTATTATAAATCACTTCAGTCTGTACGGTACGTCAGGACACCATTACATCTCAGCAAGAGATGGCAAACATTTCATACAACTTCATTTTCAAAAACCTGAAATATCTATTTAAGGAGGAAATACACCAGACGTGTTACAGCATGTTATCACAGCAAAGTGGAAAGGCATTAGCATACAAGGTGAATTATGTTAGCAGTAAAGACATATAGGCGCAGCCAACCTCAAGGAGTTTAACAAAAATACTTTATTTCCTAACATGTACTCTTTCTGAAAAATGCACATTTACAGACCTTCATAAGTTTTGGATGTTGTAATAGAGCATCAGCTACTGAATTTACTACAACTGTGAAACTTTTGTTTTTGTAGTTTCATTTTAACAAGCATCATCCACATGCATGTCCAACCTGTTATGTCTGGAAGGATGAGGGCTGTCCGGATTTAGCATAGTAATCAGGAAATCCTTTTCTATCCAAGGAAGATGTATTACTGTTGACTCTGTAAAAGGTGCAAGGATAGGAGCTAGGAACAGGAGGTAAGAGTTTCAATTACTGCTATTCAGAATAGGCCAAATACTGAAAATTGCTGCATCATTTCTATTTAAGATGCATTAAAAAAGTTTTCTAGAATAAGATTTACCTAAGACAAAAATCCTCACTCTTTATGAGAAAGTTCAGACATGCTGATTTAGAGTGCAGCAGAAGAAGTGTTAAATCAGTCTCTGCCAATGAATAAAATGTCATGATCTTGGCACTGATGGCTGGCTTGATTGCTCATTTAATTCACTGGCCGGCTCCACCCAGTTTTCATTCATTGCTCATGTGATCCAACTGCTTCTTTTTAAACTCCTTGGTCCCAGCCATCAGTGCCAGATTATTCTTGAGCCTTTGGTGTTGAGATTACTCTAGCATTTCTATAGTGTTCTAATTGCCTGATCCATTTCATAATCATCCTTCTTGATATTATGGTGGTCACTAACCTGTGTTTCTCCTCTATAGACGTTCCTGTTAACGACGCCCTAGCTGCGGATACAGTGGATCCACAGCAGCTTGTTAAAATAAATGCAACGCCTGAATTCTGGGTCCTCTGTTCTGAAACCTCACAAAAATAGATGTCATTTTTGCATCTAGTGAACGAAA